CGGAGCAGCAGCAGCAGCAGCAGCACGGCGCTCGCACAGCAACAGCAGCAGCCCTTCGCTGCTGCTGCTGTCTATACACTCCAGCGCCTGAGCAGCAGCGAACCCCACAACACGTTTTCTTTTCACTTTTTATTTTTTCACTTTAATTTATTAAATTTATTTATTTATTATTTATTTGTTTATTTATTATTTATTATTATTTATTTGCTACTTATTTGCTGCTGAAGCCTTAATAAGTCCATTACAACTTTTAATCAAAATGGACTCAAATGAACTTTATTTGACTCGCAAAAAAGCCCAACAAACAAATTAACAATTTAAAAGTATAAATAATTTCAATTGGAGAAAGAAATTTAAAATATAAATCAAAAATTGAAAAAAAATGCAAAAAATCTCCTAAGTGCATGCAGCCCCTCATTATAAACAGGCCCTTGGGGCCCCCTAAAGGGGCCCCCAAGGGCCTTAGGGGCTCCCAAGGTCCTCAGGGGCCCCCCTGAGCTCCTTAGAGGCCCCCTAAGTGCTTAGGCGCCCACATAAACTCCTAAGGCCTCTCTAGACCCTCAGGGGCCCCCAAGGAACTAGGGGGCCCCCCAAAGTCTTCAAAGGGCCCCTATGCCCTCATGTGGCCCCCTAGGCCCTTAGGGCCCCTTTTAGACTCCTGGGGGCCCCCATAGGCCCATAAGGGGCCCCCTAGACCCGTAGGGGCCCCCTTAGACCCTTAAGGGCCCCCCTAGGACGTTAGGTGCCCCCGAGGGGCCCCCTTGGGACTTACGCGTTTGAGTGGCGGCAGCAGCAACTGGGCACTGGAGAAGAGGGGCCCCCTGAGGGGCCCCGGGGGCCCCCCTTTCCCGCAAAACTGGGTACTTTCAAAAGCCTCTTCCGGGGTTTTGGGGGCCCCCTTTAGGGCCCCCAACTCTCTAGCCACTACCCGCAGCTTTTCGCGCAGCACCAGCGCTGGGAGCAGCGCAGCAGCAACTTCCTGGTGTCTGTACACCTCAAACCCCACATCTGCAGCAGCAGCAGCAGCAGCAGCACGCCCAGCGCCCAAACCGGGGCCCCCGGAGACCCCCGGGGTCCCCTGCGAGGGGGCCCCCCTGGCCACTGGGGGCTCCCCAGCTTCCCCTGCAACAGAAGGGCCCCCCTCCCCATGGGGCCCCCCCCCCTCCCCCTGGGGGCCCA